AAAAGCTTCTACAGTTCCTATTTAAGAGTAGCCTTAGAGGAGTATACTATAAGTAGAGGATAAAGTATTAGGATCCTAAAACTATATATAGTATAAGAGAATAGGTTTAGAATATATTACTAATATATTACTATAGGCGTATATATAGCAAATCTTTATATTAAGCTTAGGTAACTTAATTATTTACCTTTTTAAAGAGTAGGTATTAATTCTATTAGATTAAGACATATTCTAGATAGATATATTATATAAGAGGTTATATAGGGTATAGGTAGAGATTCTAATAGTAATCTTCTACCTATAAGAAAAGAAGCGTACGCATTAAGAATAGGTTTATAACATGTTTCTAATATATTATAGTTATTATACTTAGCTAAATTATTATAGATAAGGATATAACTAAGATATATTAAGTTGCTATTACTAACTTCTTTTAGAAGTATAAAGTACTTATAAAAAGACAAGTGTTATAAAGGTATATTTACTTATAGGGATTCTATAGGACTACTATTAATATATATAATAAGTAGATAATAGGCAAGTTTTATAGCGCACTATAACCTGTTTATAACGTGTTTCTAACTTGTTTCTAGGACTTAGGCGCTATCTCTAGTTAATTAATCCCTATAAGCGTAACTAGCGCTAGTAACTTTAATCTTGTATAAGATTTTATTAAGTATATCTATAAAGAAGTATTTATAAAGTATATAAAAGAGAGCTAGATAATACTACCTCTTTATATCTAAGTAAATTACTATAGGTATTAATAGTAGAGGAATACTTTTAGCTTGCTAACCTCCTCTTATATAAGTAAATATATTCTAAACCTATTCTAAACGTGTTCCTAACTTATTCTTATATAATTAGAATACAAACCCTCTAAAGATACCTAAAACTAGGCAATCTATAAGAAAAACCTAGTAATTGCTACTAGGATTGTGCAATACTATAGTAAAATATTAAAAGAGGTATAGGAAAAACTAGAATCTTATTTAAATATAGCTAAGCAAGCAGGCTAGAAAGGATATAAAACTAGTAAGCATGTAAGTATTCTTAAGGCTACTTAGAAGTAAGTTTATAACCTATTCTTAACCTGTTAGAATTATATAAGTAATATTATATAGTGTATACTAGATAGATCTATAGGATATAAAAGAGTTTAAAGCCTAGAGCAAGTTTAGAATACGCTATAACTATAGAACTCCTAATAGGCTTAAGTAAAGGTACCTTAAAAAGCTTTAGAGGGGAGAAAGTAAGTCTTACACTAGTATTATATATATTTACTAATTAAAACGTGTTTAGAACGTGTTTAGAACACGTTCTATAATAATAATAATACTCTAGATAATAATAAAGCAAGTCTTGCTATATCTAACTTAACTAGATATATCTTAGTCCTAATAAGAAATAAAAGAGTATGCTTAAAAGCCTAAAGCTAGAGGGCAAGTAGTAGAGTAGTATTAGAAAGAAGTTTACTAGCCCCTTTTCTATCTTCTCTACTACTAGGCTCTTCTCCTCTACTAATAGCAACCTAAAGGTATGCTTTACAAAACACATTTATAATATATTCCTAACTTATTATTAGTCTATAACTATAAACTTTATAATAAAAGGCTCTTCTTAGTAATTAGGCTCTAAAGGAGAGAAAAGAAAAGCTAGAGGTAGATAAGGAAGAACTTGTATAGAAAAAGGCACTATTTAAATTATAAAAGGTATAGTTTAAACTTAAGAAAGAGATAGCTACTTTTTATATAAGGTAGGGTTAGTCTATAAATATAGTAACTAGTTCCTAACTAGTTCTTAATATATTCTAGTCTATTATATAAGTATATATAAGTAGATAAATATATATTCTTTCTTCTTCTCTTTCTTCTTCTTTCTTCTTACACTCTATAAGAACTTTTTATATTTAAGAGTTTAATACTATTTTACTATCTATCTTTCCTAATATTATTAGATATAACTAGTTAATATAGTCTATAAAGATCTTTTAAAGTTAGTATATAATAGAACATGTTAGGAATATATTATAAACTTGTTCTAATACTAAGTAGGATTTATACTAGCGATATATTAAGCTTAAGTTACTTCTATCTAATACTAAGGTATTCTCTCCTATAATATCCTACCTAAATAATAGGTGTATAGTATTTCCTAGCAAGCTTTTCTACTAGGCTATTTAGGCTAGATTAGGGGTATAGGAACTTTGTAGAGTATGTATATATATAAGTTAGAACACGTTTATAATATATTAATAACTATTTTAGTATTGCTTCTCTAATAGAGGCAATCTTATCTACTACCTTAAGAGGTATTATCCTAAGGTTTAAATAGCCCTAGTAAACTATAGTAGAACTATAATACAAGGTATTATAGAAGTAAGGATCTTCTATAGGAGCTTAATAGTAAATACTTAAGAACGTGTTCTAAACACGTTAATAATATATTCTCTGCTAGTAGAGTAGACTACACTAAGTGCCTCCTCTAAGGTTTAAGAACCCTCTAAGATAGCTAGTCTATAATAAGAAGTAGTAGCTAGAGTAGAGGCTAAAGAGGAAGTAGAGAGTAAAGAACAGGATTAAATAGTTGCTCCCCTTTACACTATAAATAATATTTAGCAAAAGTAGTAAAAAGGAGATATAAGTCTAGTCTCTTAAAACATGTTTAGAACATATTAATAATACGTTATAGCTAGATACCTATAAATACTAGATTCTTCTTTAATCTAAGGGACTACTAAAGCTTTATAATACCTATAAAAGTTAAAAGAAAAAGTTATATACTATTAAAGGACCCTATAAAAGTAAATAGTACTTTACTTTTAGTAGATAGAAAAAAAAAAGAAGAGTAGAGAGTTTATTTTAGTAATTACTACTACCCCTTTAGGTTATATACTATTATATATTATTTATTAGAACCTATTCTTAACACGTTCTTAATATATTCCTACTTATTACTATTATTATCTCCCTCCCCCTCTCTAGTATCTTCTTTATCCTCCTTATCCTCCCTAGGCTCTATAAAAGTATACCGCAAGTAGAACTAGGTAGTATTCTAGCAGGAATTAGTAAGGTCTACACTAGTATTAAAGTAATAGTCTTAAAATATATTAGGAATAGGTTAATAATATATTATAAATAACTTACTATAGCTAGGATAATTATAAGTATAGATAGTATAAGGAACCTAATAACCTTAAATCCTTAGTAGGGTAGATATAGTAATAAAGTTAAGCTATAATAAGTTAGTAATATATTTTTAATAGGTTCTTATAGGCTATACCTTATTACTATTATAGCTAGTATAAGTCTTTTTCTAAATTATATTTAAGAGGGTATTAGTATTTATAAGAGGGCCTATAATAGCTACTAGCTAGGCTTAAAGAACTTTTATAAAATAAGTTAGTAATAAGTTTTAAATATATTCTAAATAACTTATAATAAGGAGTATTCTAGTAATTATATATAACCTTTATATAGAAGTCTATATATATTAGTATAATAAGTTAAGAATAGGTTAATAATATATTTACTCTTTACCTTATAGACCTCCCTTATAGAGGGCTAGCTAGTTTTCTTAACCCTACTAACCTTATAGTAAGCTATATTAAGCCTATAATCTTTTTTAGTATAGGTATATAAAGTGCCCCTAGTACTTAGAATAGCCTAAGAATATTAGAACCTATTTAGAATATATTTAGAACCTATTCTTACTTTATATAAGGTGCCCTTATTATTAATCTTAGTATAGTAGTAGCGCTCTCTACTCTTTATCTTAACTACCCTATTAGGGCTAACTATAGGCTATACCCTAATATTATCTAGGATATAGCTAAGGGCAAGATACTATTAATAGTGCTTCTATAACCTATTAAGAATATATTCTAAATATATTTTAATCTACTTATATAGGATATAAGGGATATATTAGTAATAGGTATAGTAGTAGTAGCTTATAGTATTACTAGTATAGAATATATTTAGAATAGGTTTAGAATATATTATAAAATCTTATAGTATAATATTTAGTTAACCTTGCTTAGCTAGCTAGTAGAGCTTAGCACAGCCTAACCCTATACTAAATACAAGTTCACGCAGCGCTAATTCCATGGTTATATGAACTGCGCCCTCCAGACATGTCTCGCGACACGAAGCTGCTTCCCTTCTCGCCCACGCCCTTGCCCATCCCCAAACAGCCGTCGGTGAAGATGGCAACCCCACTGCGACCACACCGCCGCCAGCACAACTGGTAAAGCACTTCCCAAACCTGGCGGCGCGTTTCGCTGGTGGAAGACTCGAGCACTGTCAGCCAATCACATGGACCGGGACCGTTGGGCGTCGTGGTGAAGGCCAACAGCGCGCCAACGACGTCAGCGAAGCAAATGAAAGCGTTGCAGTCACAGGGGGGGTTGTCTTGCGTGTCACTACATCATTCACAAGGGCGCCAAACGATCGCAGACGCAGCAGCTGGCGTTGGGTTGGTGTATAAGAAAGAGTCAAAGGGTTGAGGTGAGTTGCGTGCAAGAGTGTCTTGACATTGTGTGCGCGACTCTTCACGTTGTACCACCCATTCACCCGGGCTTTGATAGTCTTCTTTTCTTCTTCCTTCTTCTTCTTCTTCTTCTTGCACCTTGCAGTCGTCATCGATGGTGATAAGGGTCCACCGACTGTGACTACTGCATACTACTATTTCACTCAAGAGGTCTCTCATTGCTAGCCAATTAATGGTC